CAGTGGACATAAATACAGTATAATGATATTCTATTCACAAAACATAAACGATAATATGTCCACATTACTTGCGAAACGTTATCCCCCGAGATTTCACGTCAATAATCCGTCGATATGAACAAAAATATTCGGCAGTGCTGAAGGTTCTGCTACAATCGATAGTAGTCACTCAGGCACACCGGCTAGAATGAAACAAACGCACCCAAGCACAACGATTTCATTCTATTGGCTGAGAGGTCGCTAGGCATCTGCCAAAAAGGCAGTTCCATGTTTTGCAAGCGAGCTCGGGGAGAAGTTTTGAGTACAAGCGTTACAAGTTTTTAGAAGAAAGACATGAACTTGTAAGCAAAAAGTATTCAAAGTTTTGATAACAATATACATGAAATCCTGCTCTTGGATAATGGCAGAAACGTACCCCCATATAAAAATCACAGACTGCTACTTCCGGTGGGCGCCGGAAGTAAGACCCATAATCGTTTCTACAGCCTCCCAGGAATAAGGTGGATAGAGTTCCTACAAAACATGTAGGGGCTGGCCACACAAACATGTGAAAGAAGGAGCTCTAAGGCTTTTGGAAGAAAAACAACTGTATGTGTGGAGGAGCACTAATACTGTACATCACCCTGACCAAACAATGGTGAAACATGGTGGTGGAAGCTCCATTCAGAGGAATGCTTTTCTGCAATAGGACAGATCTAATAGAAAGATGGGCGGAGTTAAATACAGGGGAGACGTGAACTCATGAGCTGCGGACTCTGTATATAATTTTAAAAAAGCCTGCTAATTCAAACAATGTGCTTCGACAGACAAACGAGTTACAATAAGTGCTGTTATGCAATTTCAGCTTCTAACTTTAGCATTTTGTGACCTAAGATAAAGAAGTACGCACATTTATTTTTAGAAATTAAGAACAAGTATTGCGTTATAGACAAGTTCTTACCTATTCAGCTCCGGTGTGGTGTGATTTTTCAAGCTAACGCCTACGCAGTATTAGTTTAAAGGTTCCGCGCCCTAGTTTCTATAGCAACAACGTTCTATGTTAGCTTACCCGTGGGATGTTGACGTTTACCGCTTCGACATCCACTCGAACCTCTGACAGCGGCGGTGGGGGCTCAGACTTGGTGAAGCCACCGTAAGAGCCGACGATCTCTAGATCGGAGTCGTCTGAGCTGAGGGAGATCACTTCTTCCATCTCTTCCCCGTCATCCAGCGCTTCACACGAAGCAGAAGGTCTACGGGAGCAGGAGGGCCGCCGCTCACGCAAGCTTCACCTTGTCATGCAGACCCCGCGGCAGCTGGCACTGTCCCGAACAAAGACGATCTATCGTGAATGGGGAAAATGCCCATCATGTTTTTCACAAAACACATGACGCCTCTCTGCCGAGGCGTCAAACAGCATTTCCTGGTTAGAATTCCACGCCACACTCATAATGCTGTCGGGCATATCCAGCGTTCAAATAAACCACCTCAAAACGTTTTTAGCAAGCTGTAATCTCATAACAGCAGCACGAAAATGATAGGCATCGTTTTACCGCTTCCTTGTTTTCCTCTGTCATTTTTTTTTCCTCTTTTGTATGACGCATCAAATGAAACTTTATAGTTGCAGCTACCTCCACCTGCTGTACAGGAATGCAAAGGCATACCCTGCTTTTGTCAGCCTTCCATCCAATGCAGGTATATATAACACCAGGCCTAGGAAAAGCATCAATTCATATTTAAGACCTTAAAAATCATTAAACATTTACCCATTAGTAAAAAAATATATATCATTGTAAAGGCCAAGGGAGTACAGTTATTTTTTGTTTAATGTAACTGCCGTTCAAATTCTGTGGTTTTATTTTTGTAACGGTAACTATGGTAACAGAGTGCAGTTCTACCTGAAAAAAGTTAACAGCATTCAATGCTGTAAAGTAAGGGAACAAGGTCTGTAATTTTCTTTTTTTGATGAGATAATGATGGCATAATGATAATAAATCATCATTATACCATCAGTTCTTCTCAATGGACTGGAAGCCATAACGATTTCTTTTGTTTTGTTTTTCTGTGCTAGAATGCCCCCTTCACAAAGGGTGGTGGAAGACGGAGGGAATCTACAAAGACCAACTTCACTCCATGCCATACATGAAACAACTGCAGAACTAGAGAGCTCCTACAGAAATAAACTACTTATAGGTGCACAAAAGAGCATTATCTCAGGTGATTCCTCCTAGCAGCTCGACATGGTTATAATACTATGCCCCCCAGTATTTTTTCTTTTGTTGTAAAATAACTTCACAGTCATTCACAGTTATTTCACAGTCTCATATTTCTTGTCTCTCTCTCTCTTTTTTTTTTTTTTTTTTTTTTTTTTTTTTTTTGTTGCAAGCATCAGTTTTTCTGTCACTTTGCTGCTGGAACACAATTTTCTTCTCTAAGGGACAATACAACATATTCCATTATATTCTATTCTGTTCTATTCTATTCTATTTTGAGTGAATATGTAGTCTCATTTGTCACCACTGGATGGCACTCGTGATGTTCAAAAGATGGAGAAATAACGTCCGTAGGTCTCCATGCATGTACATAATGCTCCTAGGCTTTTTTAGAAATATCAAGTTTAGCGTAAAACCCTTCCTCCAATCTGATTTTCACTTTTTCTTTTTCTTTTCCTAACTTTTCTTAAGCACTTCTGTGAATATGCTCCCTTCAATTTCCTCTTCAATTTGTCTCCATGGTAGCTATCTCTTTTTCTCGAATATTTCACAAATGAATCGCATTTATGTAATTGTCAGGCAAATATCAACATGGTGAACCCCACGATTTAAGCTGTAACTCCTGCGTCCACAAAATTACTCCCGCCTTGGAGGTTTCATGTTTTTCTTTCTTTTCTTTTTTTTTCTTTTTTACATATTGTTGATGTAACTATTATTTGAATTCTATTCATTCTTATTACACGCATTGTTAAATCCCACTTGGTTTGTAGAAACACAATGATTTTGCGTGTCATTTTTTTTTCAAAGAAATTTACATTTCTCATGTAATTGGATGAAAAGGGTTATTAACCTCAGATGTCTCCAATCATTTCATGCTATGAGGAAATATCAGGCAGGATGAGTCACTGCCGTCAGACACATACAATCCTCCTGACATCCATTCAGCAGTGTGAAGACTTTATTAGGGTGGTTAATACATAAAGGCTGTGTTTATACTTGCATATTGTGTGTGCTTTGGGAATCATCTTTAGCCTTTTTTAGCATTACAAAACTGCTGTACAAATTTTGCATAGCCTAAAATGTAAGACTAATATAACAAGGTGTAAAATTGAGGAAAATTATATTTATTGCACAGCAGTGTTTTCAGTCCAGAGTCATTTGGATCAGTTCATTTGACATAAGAACATGAAGAAAACAAGAACATTTAAATCCAACAAAAATGGGAGTGAGTGCTAGCACTACATTTGCTTGATCATTAGAGCTGTGGAGAAAACTGAAATCATCTAACCAAATTGCACTACCACACATGTTCTTGTGTTTCTGTGGGTTTAAAGAAATTCACTCAGGCATTGTCTTTCTTCATATCTAATACTGTAGCATATGTAATTTAATTTCTGCTTGAGCCACACTACTTTCAGAGACCATGCATGCTGATGCTACAGCTATATATTTTATGCAAATGATATGTAAATGGTGAGGCAATCACCTGAGAATAGTGTCCCTTAAAAGGCCGTATATGCACCTCTTTTCAACATTTATTGTACTTTCGACCTATGAATCCCCTTTTGACACAGTCTATAGACTTTGTGTATTGACATGGATATGAAATGGCCGACAGGGCAACGTAGCAAGCAGCTGTTGAAAACAGCTGTAAACTTGGCAGCGTAATAGGTTTTCTGATCAGAAGATTGAAAGGAGATCAACAGAATATCACAGTGGATTCTTTTGGAGACAGATTTGGAGTGTTAAAATTCATAATACTATCGTCTGGACACATGAAGAGTCGGACCAATACATGCTTGGGATTCAACAGTGGGTTCTTGGAACTGACTGAGCAGCTCATGCCTTGGCAGACCAAATTAATATATTTGTCATTTATAGTAATTTCTGTTATCATGTGAGTTGAGATGAGCATTTTGTGGGTGTTCAGCTGAGATTTGTTTCTACAGTGTCTTTAGGGTTGAGACTTCAGTATTATTTTAACTGATCATTTTTATTGACACATATATTTATTTACCTTTGCTAAGCACGATTATTGTCATTCAGGCTTAACGGGGTAAATCCATTTATTGGATAATATAACCGTTAGCCACCGGACCTGACAATTATATATCTCTTTTTTTTTCCTGCCAATGCAGCTTTGTGTCACCTACCCTTTCATTCCTTGCTACTTAATGGTTATTCAGGGGAAAACAGGACTTGTTGTTAACTCCTACCAATGTACCTATAGATTTGTTGTATGCATAACATGGATTTTCAGCCAGTCTCTGTGCTGTCAACTTTGGAAACAGAGGAGTTGCTTCGGCCTCAGAAGACATACTGGTTGGTTGGTATGTACGCACTATGTTCCTAGAAAACCTAGCAACACAAAATTCTGGCATATTTTCAATTCTGTCGTGTTACGCAAACAAACAAACAAACAAACAAACAAACATAAACATGCATAAAAAATCACATTCCCTCCAAATATCTCACTGTGCTAGAAAAGTAGGTTTTGTTCTTCTGCAGCATCATTTTCAATATATGGTAAAAATAAACATTTTAATCATCTGTCTCAAAATATGGTAAAAAAAATATATATATTTGGTTTTGGTAAAAGCAATTGCTGAGAGAAAACCTTTAATCTCATGTTGCAATATGACAACATACTTCCATGCAAAAACATTAATGTGACTTCAACAGCAGGGCAGCCTGACCTATTTTCTTATAAATTCAGATAATAACTATTTGACCACTTCGGGGCACTTCTGTACTGTACAGACTAAAATTAAACTTTGATATCCACTTGGTAAGGCAATCATTACATTTGAAAAAGACAAATCACATCAGGAGTTTGCCATTATTGTCACATAAATGTCATATACATCCAAAGAACTGACATTTCACAAAATGGGCTTAATTTATTCATGTCTAAACCCATGTAAAACCTGTTTATAGGTACATCTGCATCCATGCTGAGATAAGAGACAGTGTGACAGTAGCTTTACAACCCATTAAAATGCTCAGTTTTGCATACATTAACACACATTGAAGAGGAAATACATAACATCCATCATAGGGTACTGTTTTTGAGGTAAACAAAGGTATGTTGGTGCTTATCAATGGGTGGCTATATTGTACATTGTTAATGTTTCATCTGAAAAAGATAGATTTAGAAATCTTTCTAAAAGAATCCATAAACAAGAAAAAAAAACAGATTGTTTGGAGGAGACATATCTTGCCTTCTTCTAAAAAAAAAGAAAAAAGAAATAAATAGAATGAAATGTGAAATGGCCAAAACATGACCGAATTATAGAATAAAGTCCTTATAGAGCCTGCTGTTTTTGCAGATATCCTACATTCAATACGATCTACTCAACTCCTCTTCTCTCCCCTCTTCTGGAGGTCAGGTGTTTTTGAAGATGGTTGCATAATGTAGTATTCATCCTGACATTTCACAGTGCCACATTCAACAAACCAATACTTTGGCAATCAGTAAACTGTTAGAAAAACAGTTATTTATCAAACAATAACACTTATTAAACCTGCAATTAGGACAGAGATAGTTTTAAACAGTGGATCTTTTCTTGACCTTTAAAACAAAGAGCATCATCCTGTCAGCCTGTATTATGTTGCATTACATTGAGTTGCATTGCAATGGATTGCATTGCTTTGTGTTGCGATGAGTTGAGTTGAGTTGAGTTGCATTGCATTGAGTTGCATTGGGTTGAGTTGCATTGCATTGAGATATGTTATCTGCATTGCACATGTTCATATTATTACAACATGGCTTTATCATTTCTAAATTCTACATCCAACTTGCAATTTTACAAACCTGCAAACCTAACTTTAACTTTGAAAGATTTAACAACAACAACAACAACAAAAAGAATAATCAAGTAAATAAAATGGATTTCTATCCAGGGTTTTAGTTTCCATTAATGGTGTATCAATCAGACTAGGTGCCCCTTTGTGGTTCTCACAAAAGAGAATATTGTCATGGCTGATGACGCCAAAATTTGTGTAGAATTTTGAAGCTTGTAATTTATACACAGTAAAAGGCCATTTTGATATCCTATATTGAGATAAACATGAAAAGTTTTATAGCATAATCAAGTGACTATGTTACCTTCAGTTGTTCTAAAAATGCTGTATATATCAAACATGACTTAAAAGAAATTTCGCAATGTAACGCCTGGAAAATGGACCTCTGTCTGACTGCAGCTTCGGGGGAGGAGCTTGTTGAAAATGCAGCGCTTGGTTACGCCACTCTCTCTCTCTCTGCACCCAGAGAAAGAGCGAGATTAAAGGATTTCTCAAACATGCACGAAAGAATCAAAGCAACACTCCTGATATGTTTTTGATGAGTAACATTATAACATGATATACAGCTAAAAAATAAATAAATAAAAATAAGTCAATTTGACGTATTACTGCCTCATTGAAGATCTGCCTCTGTTTTGTAGCTAGAGTTGAATAAACTCTAAAGCAGGAAAGGGCAGGTTTTACATGAACAGATGAGATGCCCAATTTAATTTAAAGAGGATTACTTTCATTCTTCACAAGATAAAGGGATGAGCAAGTAAGACCAAAAATAGTTTAGAAAGTGTCTATTCCACACTGGATTAATTGTGCTTGTCCCATCATGTCACAGACAAACCCTAGACACTCTGCAGCATCATTATGCTGCCGAAACCCCTCATTCATTATGCCTTCTTTGCATTCCTCTGTTTGTTCAAAACAGAGCAAATTGATGGGCTTCCACTTTGGGCCCAAAAAAAAAAGAGCTTGTTGGATATTGTGAATTTAATGGCCTGACAACAGCATTGGTTTGCATGAAGCTAGTTCGTTTTTATTAAAAACATAGCTCTTGCTCGAATTGGTATACTAAACTGTGTGCTCCCATTTAAGCTAACACATCATGTTGATTGCTTTGTGCATTAATGCTTCAGTTAAGCATTTAAGCTTCATGCATTTAATCAGTCAGTGCTGTAATATGGTTT